ACAATTTCAGGCGGCAGCGCTGGGGGCAGATTATCCTGGCGGCGAACTGGAAGTTGAACTGGCACCAAAACGTGGCGCAGAAGGAAGTGGAGTTATACCCGATGAAAAACGAAAACCGTCGGAACGTGTGACTCCTGCCGCTCTTTTGGCCACTTGTCCGCTTGAGGAGGTTTGTTTTTCGTTTACCTCTTGCGTCGCATTTTAACTGTAAAGAGCTAATAACAATTGTCTTCGGACAAAGCTTGGTTTTTTGCGCAGTTCGGTTAGTAAGGACCAATGTGAATTCAGTAAACAGGGAAATAATGTAGCGGCCCATATTGCATGTGGCATTCCCATATGGCTGTTCATTATTCACAATGTATTTTTGCTGGTTATCGACGGAAATTATATTTTCGATAAACCTATGCTAACAATGGGATTTTTCGTTTTTGAAATCGGGGTTGGGATTTACGTTTTTAAGAGTCTAAAAGTTTTGAAACCCTTGATCATTGCTGCAAAAATCTTTAAAAATAACAGCCCTAAATTTCATCCAAAATTTATAATTCAGTTATTGCTCGCTTTCCGGCATTTCCATTAGCCGTACCGCGCCTCGCATTTTGCTTCCACGGTACGTACAGCCGCTAACCGCTAATCACAGCGGCTGGAGTTGAGTGCTGTTTTTATTGCTAAGCAACATAAAACAATCGTTGTTGCCACACAACAAACCACGGGGTACCATCGTGAACTGACTGGGGGATCATCGACTCATTTTCTTGTGCGCCGCATATCTCACTGGTTTTCTGTCTTTCAGTCAGACGATGAGGAGAACGAAGATTAAATGAAACGCTGGCCGTCGAATTTCTCACATTTATATCTGTAAGGTGGATGTTTGTATTGTTCATAAAGGCTGTTGCAGACATTGTTTAGTGTCAAATTCCCCGCTTGTCGGATGCTTTAGCTGGGAGGTGAAAAAAGAAAAAAGTGGTTTTTTCCTCCAAAAAAAACTTTTTGCGTCGTTGCTTGCGAATAATTCTTTGTAACTTTTTTCTGACAGATTTCATTCTCTTGTAAGTAGTGACGTCAAATCTGTACCCTGAGGAGGTTCATTTTCTTTAACTTGTCTGCACAGATGATAGGCTTTTTTTTTGTAACAGTGTTGTGAATTTTTTTTTTTTTTGTAACAAATTTTGGCCGTTTTTGAGTTTTCCATTACCTGTATTGTCAATCGTAACATTTCTGTGATGCATTCGACCAGTGATTGTATTGTAACTGCCATGAGCAGTGGTAAAAAGTGAAAAAAGTATACGATTGGCTCAAAAAAAAGACTGAAATGATAAAGTGATGCAGAAAAGATGATGTACAAGAGCAGAATGTTAAAAAAAAAGAACAAAATACCGGGCAAAAAAAAAAGAAAAAACTGTGATACGACAGAATGGAGCCAGTGAAGATGAAGCCCGAGAACGCAAAAAGCGATGAACACACTTGTGATGTAGTTATTATGCACACACCTGTTTGCCTTATTTTCGTTTCTTGTAGAACTCCAGTAGTTCTGGGTTCTTCCTTTGACTCGAATCGTAGCTCGTTCTTGTAGTCTGGGTCCCGGTACTTCCTCTTCAGTGCAGCTTTTGCAGAATTTTTGCTAGCAAGCTGACAGATACAGCCAAAAATGGTCAAGTTTGGAGATCGGAGGGTATGGAGAGCGGCATTGTTCGGAGCTGCGTGTCCTAGCCATGTCTCATCTCTAAGTTCGTGATCTTCATAATGCTTTTTTTGTGCACTGAAAGCTCACTGGAGAACTGCGTAAAAGTACTAGGTTCTGTGAGTCACGTACTGGAGAATGGTACCAGCGAGGGAATGAACAGCCGCCGGAGTAGTCCCTCATGGGGCGTTTACAAATTAATCACAGACGGGGAAGGAGGGTGTACTGGAAGAAGTACACAGTCTGAGGATCTAGAAATTGGCATAGTTGGTGCTGTGTGTGGGGATTATGCCACTGCTTTCTTTGATTGATATAGAACCCACTGTTTCCTATGAAACGATACGTGAGATACGCTGCTCAATGTGCTTTAGATTTGTGAACCTCAATGTGTCACTGTGATTGAGAATACTTTAAGTACGAAGAATCGGCCCAACGACTTTTAGGTCAGACTGCCTTTTTGGCGAGTCCCATTGCTCAGGGCTTTTTCTCGTGAGAGCTTCTGGCCAGTTGTTCTTTGTTCCCTCGTCAACTTCCGTTCCTGAAGTCAGTCAGCTGGTCAGTATTTCCGTAGCCTTAGCCAGCGGTTCAGGTGGATCGTTGCATCTCACTGACCGGCATTCCCGGTTTTCGTTTGGAAATTTCGCATTTTCGTTGTCTGATCATCTTTCGTTTATCCTGGTTGCGGGTCCAAATAGTTTAGTGCAAGATGCATACACCGCATTGTTTTCATTCCTAGGTTTTTATTCGTTTTTGCTTTTTTCATTTTATGTTGTAAATGTTCGTATGTTTGATGCTTTCACAGAAGTGAGACAGACGGCTGTTTTTGTTGATCATTATTGTGCGAGGACTTTGTTGAAAAGCAGATAGTTCTGTGCCGAGAGAAATTCGCTTCTGAGCGTTTAGTTGGCAACTTCTCCATTCTTCGCTGAACTGAAGCCGAAGAGCTCTCCTCTGTGAAAGTAGGAACTTTTTTTTTCATTTTGGCAACTGTTTCTCTGATCTCGCTGCACAGCTAGCCGGTTTTGATTTGGACAAAGTGAACTATTCGGGAATTGTTTTTTGTTTTTTTGTTTTCCAAAAGATAACCAACGCTGCTACTACTGTGGAATTTTTGCATTGTTGGCCAATAAACGTTTTTTTGTTCAGAAACAATAAAAAATATTTTTTAGCCCGTGCTTTTAGAGTTGTTAGCAAATTGATCACAAATCTAGCATGAAGAAGGTGGGAAAAATCACAGTGCGTTCCCCTCATGTCGCATCCGTTTTTTCGGTAATTTATGATTTTTTATACGTTTTGTGCTGTGTAACAACAGTACAAAACGCATATTG